GAATGACTTTTTTGCCCTTTAAAGGGTAGTCATGTGGATAGCACGCGACCTACTTAATGTAAGAATAGATGAAAAATTAAAAAAATTGACAAAATGTGCAAATTGACTAATTATGAGAATTGAGGGAGGAAATTGACCAAAATTAGAGTTGAGAGAGGAAATTGGCCAATGTTTACAAGTTAATTATGAATACCTGTATTAATTTATGCGATAACTTAGAAAAAGTAGTGCTTCAAAGGATCGCATGAAAAACATTCGTTTATTAAAAAAATTCAGATAAAGGAAATATATAAGACAAACGTACGTAATCACTTTCGGTTCGATTATGAACATGATTTGGATCAATAATATTAGGGTGCTATATATTATTGATATTATTAGATTTCAATAACCAATCACTGGTTTTTTTGCAATATTATACTTGTACATTTTCAAGCTACCACATTTTTTTCCTTCTGGATGTATGAAAATTTAGGTATTGCGTTTGTTCCTTTGTTAAGAAGTCATCCCCAACTCCCTTGCCCTATTATTTTTATCAAGGAAAAATAACTCCCCAGTTTAAAAGCTATATAATTAACCAGCATGAATGCTGGACAACTGTCGAAAGCAAAACTCAAAATTCATTGTATAATTAACAGTGAGACTAAAGGCTGACTAAGAACATGATTGTCAAAAGTTATATAAAAAAAATATATATCAGAGTAAATCTCCAACAAATCAGAAAGTAAATCGTTAAAATATAGAGTATACATACATATAAAGTGAATAATTAATATAGAATATCTTTTGTACTAAAAAATATATATATATATATAATGTTGAGAATGAATTTCACATTAATAGGAAGAAGGACTTTGCATAAACTTATAAGTAAGTTGGGCTACTCTCTCATATTGCCAATTGATTTTATGATAGAACATCAACTTTCTTCATGGTACCAGAGTAGGTTGTCTCACATATGAAGCCAAACGGCCACGTGCGCTCCATGTCACCCCTTTGTGTTGTCCACGCGTTAGGCTTGAAAATTCGTCACACGTGAAAGGATGTGTTGAAAATGAATCTCACATTGATGGGATGAACGACCTTACATATTGGACAAATATTGTAGAGTACACCACATTTTATTTATAGATGATCGACAACCATAATCTATTACATCACAATGTCATATATGACATCCTTCGTACATCTTTTAAAATACACACAAACCTAATTAAGAAAAGCATTTTATTTAAGTAGGTACGCATTGATGAACATATGCATGCATGATTACATATAATTGAACCCTTTCTAACAAGACCAGCAAAAGCTCTTTCCAACCGTTGCATATGCTGCAGCCTGCAGATATGGTTTTTATTCGTTAATTTATTTATTTATGCTCCCAGAAAGTGAGCGTCAAGATCCTGGACGAGTTTAACCATCAAACCGACATATCTATCTGGAGCTTCAACATTCTCATTCAGTTTCTCGTATTCGATCCACAGGTTGGCAATGCAGGTGCTTTCATCTTTTTGAGTGAATTTATAGACACCCTTGAAGCTGTTATAACTATGAGTGTATGATGATCTGAGCACAACTGTTAAGGTATACATACATATAAAGTGAATAATTAAACAGGAAAATTGAAGTAGTGGTACCTAGTTCATATTTCCAAATCTTAATAGAGCCGTGTGTTTCCCAGTCTCCTTCATGCACATCAACTCCCTTGATATGGGTATTAGAAATGTTTGGGATGAGGTGGGCGCTCTTGAACATGTTGTACAACTTGTCAGCTGGTGCCTTAATTTCTATTTCAGTCCCAATTTTACCATGCAGAACCATGTTTATGAGCAGTTTTGAATTGATGGGTGCTACTCAGAAATTATAAGAGAAGAATGTTATAGGATATGTATAATTTGGGCTCCTACCCTCCTTAAATACAAGTGACTAGAGTTAAATTGCGAGATAAAACTATATGTGTCCGAAACACGATGCGGCATGCCATATATATGTAATATAAGTGGAGGGATTTTTTTTTTTTTTCAAGTGTTCCTATACTTGTATATGATATATAACATATGTACCCGTGTTCTGGATATTAAAAAAATCTCTCGTAATATTTTAATAGTGGGTAATCCAATTTAAAAACCAAATCATGCAACAGTTGATAAAGATTAAGTCGTATATTTTTAAAATCATACTTCTCGGGATAATTGGAATCCTATGAAGCAATGATCAGAAGTTCACAACATGCATGGATAGATGAAGGGTTTGCTCATGGATAGGGAGACCAAATTTCTAAACTAAAATTTGTAAATCAAATGATGTGGAGGTAGATGATTAAATTATTACTTAAATGTTGATTAACATGCTTATTTCTTATTAATAATATATCATTTGGTTTGCATTCACGCATGCAATAAAGATTAAATTAGTACGATCGCACTAAAATTTAGGGATATGCTATCCACACACCTCAAATTACTTCCCACACACCCCTTGTTAATTTATGTCTGTTGATCTTCTTCAATTAATCCGATCCGACGGCCGAAAATTAGAAGGGTGTGTGAGAAGTAAAATGGGATGTGTGGATATTACATCCCAAAATTTATCTGTAAATGTTTTAAAATAAAATGTAATTTATCTGCAAAATGTCTTAGAATAAAAAAAAAAATTATCTCTTGAATGATCATATCTATTTATTTATTATCATTATTATATTTTTGGATAGATCGATACTTATCGCGTCTGGTTTTTTTTGTCAAAAAGCCATCAAATGGGGAGGCAGGGATGAGGTATTAGGTATCCAAAATGTCAGTTTCACATAATCTTACTAAAGTTTAAAGATCTTTGAAGACTATCATTGATGATTGATCATCCAACAGGTGCATTATTTATTTTTTAATAAACGGTAATAGTTACACTAAGGAGATGGAGGAGTGTGCTAAATCTTACAATGAACTTGGCAAAATAATATGATTCATCTTTGTTTTTTGCAAGAATCAAACCTAAAACCTCTCACTTATAAGTGAAAAGGAATATCACTAGATCGTAATACTAAGTGGTCACGTGCATTATTTATAGATAACAATAATAACAAGAATTTTTTTTTCTTTTTCATGCTGGGCCATTTTTCCTAAAGTGGTGCTAGAGATGCCATCTTTTTAAACTATAATTGTAAATCACGTGATATGGCGGTTGATGATTAGATTATTTTTTTTAATCATTAAAAATGTAATTCAACCATCAACAACTACATCATTTGGTTTACAAAATTTGGCCAAAAAAGACAGTCTCTTTAGCATTTTGCTTCAATGTATAACTTTTAGTCATGAGTCTATACCAATTTTCATTTCTAGATTTTAAAATTAGGGTGATATATCCACACCTCGTTTTACTTCTCACACACCTTTTTAATTTTCAGCCATTAGATCAAATGAATTGAAGAATATCAATGTACATAAATTATCAAGTAGTGTGTGAGATGTAAAGTGAGGTGTGTGGATAGCACACCCTTTAAAATTACATCACGCTACTCGTTAAGTTTGGTTTTAAAAAACAAAAACTGAAAAAAAAAATTGAACCATTCACCAAATAAAAATAATAAAAAAATGAATAAGCCGAATCGTACTAAAATTTCGATTCGATTGGATTCGGTTTTAGTAGTTAAAAAACCGAACCATACCGAAATACCTTGTAACCATAACAACGTCGTTACACACTTATGGTAACCCTAACTGTATTCCTCTCCTCCTCGTCCTCATCGCTTCAGTTCAATCCTCAACTTAAGTCATGTTCCTCTGCGCCTCTGACGCTCCACGTCCTCAATCTTCAATCCCTCCTCGACGTCGAGATCCCTCCATCGCAACTCCACCGCTGCTCTTTCATCACACAGCTCCACCGAAACCTGTCACCCTTTACCTAACAGTGTTTTCTGTTGAATAATTTTTTTTAAATGATGATAAACCCACTCCGTTGTCCTATTTTTACATCCATATTATAATTTCATCCACCATAAAAATTAAAAATTAAATAAAATATTATTTCTTCACCCACCATTATTCCTAAAATAACCTCTAATGTCTAATTTTTTAAACAATTATATTAAGATGTTTTTTTTTTAAAAAAAAAAAACTTCATGCTTCCTTAACTGCCACTACTCTAGCCGCACCAGAACCTCCTCCCACCCTATCAAAAACCAAAACTTTTGACACCTGCTTGGCAGCATCTCCTTTGGAAAGAAAGAGAAACCAAAGGGGAAGGAAGAGAGAAGCAGAGAGGGAGTTTTCCAATACAGAAGCAGATTGCTCTAAATCGATTTATTCCAACTGGATTTGGGTATTCTTCGATTTTAAAATCTGGGTTGTCATCGTTATTCGTAGGAGGAGAGGATGGAGGTGGTAGTACCATAATTGAAAGGGAGAGTTGGGTGGTGTTCATTTATAGGGAGGGTAATGGATGATTGGAGATTTGATAGTCGTCAGTCCATCGCGGATGATTTGAGAGGAAGATGGATTTATTTTTACTTTTGTTACTTTTAGTTTTTCTTTATTCTCTTTTAGTTTATTTAATTAAAGTTATAACAAATTTATATAAGTGGATTTAAAAGTCTTTTGCTAAAAGGATAATTATGTGATTAACATTTTTATTAAAAGGTGGGATGAGAAAATAAGATAATGGGGTGGTTTTAGTAGCACTTTTTTTTTGGACAAGCCATAGGATAATCCAAATTTATCTAAACCACAAAGAAAGAGAGTTTGAACACAAGACGCAATCAGTTAAATAGGAAGATAATCAATTTTATATTTGGATCATCATGATATGAATTAAGAACAAGGGAAATTGGTCGTTATAGGACAATTACAAATTTTTGTTGCTGAAATAGTAAAATCAACATGACCGACATAAGGCTTGACACGTGAAATGTCTCAAATGGCCATGTATGTATAGTGTACCTAGAACAACACGATGGATCATATTGATTGTCCTATTACTTTCAGCATAAAGGATTTGTAATGTCCTACAACCACCAATTTTGCCTAGTCCATTGAAATGAAAAGAGAACCAAAAACACAATCCAAATTGTATGATGTAATCAGCAACTGTGCACATCAGCCATGCATAATTGAGATCCAGTTAAGATTTATATATTAAATTATATACAGAATCATCTTTGTAAAAATGAGGTATTGATCACTTATTTAGCAGATCTATCTTTTCTGGAACTAACTGTAACCGGAGAGGCAGAAAGGCGATTTTGTTTATCTGAAACCACCGGGTAATCAAGTTTCTTACTATTGTTTTCATCTTTGTAAGACTTTGAAGGAGATGCTGATCCAAATATCTGCACTGTTAGGCTTCCACCTGAAGAGAAACAAGAAGTAAACATAAATAATGCATATCAAAAACAAACAAGTATACATCAACCTACAAGATGCTTGGGGATATGCTGAAGTGCAGGGGAAATGATAATGCATTGGTAACGTCTAGTTGACAGCATGTTGAATACTATATAACCACTGTTTTTTCTACAGTAAAAGGTGGTTCGAACATCTAGCATGAAACTGGATAAATCTTTGCTGATGACAGTTTGTTAAATTCAAAGCATTGCGCTTATTGATGGTATACTTGGTAGTTTACTAATACTAGGTAATGATAAATAAAAATTGTGAGGTAGAGGTTTTTTTTATTCCCTCTAACCAGAGGTAAAGAGTACTTTACCTAGCACCAGAGCAGCGCCAACCCAACCAGTAGCACCCCACCTTTCCCCAAGGAGAAACCATGCAAAAGCAGCACCCCAGACCGGCTCCAAACTATAAATTATTGCTGTTTCTGTTGCTGATACATCACGCATTGCGGCCATCTGGAAAAAATACTTTCCATCAAAACTTTAAGCTAAAAAGATGCTTTCAAATAAAACAACATTGGAGAGTTTATTTTGTTTCGAAACAGCATAAGTAGTATACTCAACCAGAGGTCCTATAATTTACAAATATTAATTTTGTATACCGGCGATAAGATAAGCTTTATATCGGAGATATTTGTATCCATTGAATCACTAGTAACTTAGAATGCAAAACTAAATTACTCTCTCAGATCAGCATTTACACATACCTCTACCCATAAGCATAGACCAGTCGAAAATATGCCCGAATACAGTGCAGGTATCCATGGGAACACAACCATCCATTCCCAGAACATCCCCCACGTCCATAACGATGGGTTAAAATCTTGGAGGCCACCCGACCCTACTCCAACGCAGTACCATATAGCTGACATGACAGTAACAACACATACCTGAATGGAATCTTAGAACCTTAGAACTGTCGACACCACCAATGAAGATTAACAAGTAGCATTAATCACGATGTAATTAACATGGACATAACATAAGGACAACATATACTAACCTCATAACCGAGCAGAGCTAAGAAATTTTCACTTTTCGTGTTTCTCGAAATGTGCTCAGTTCTTAGCATATGGACACCAAAAAACACAGCACTTAAGAAGTTCAACAAGTCTCCAACCTGAAAAGGCTTTGTTTGTTACAATTTGACTAAGAGCAAGTGAGACAGACTGATCACCAAAATTATAAAAAATGATGATGATTCTCTATATATCTAAAAAGGGTAAAAATAACTTACACTGGGGGGCGATCCACTGGATTCCAGCATTGCAACCCCTATGATAGACACAAAAGCTCCAAACCAGGTACGAGCAGGAACTATTGCTCCTAACATACCATCAAGCAAGGGAACTATAACTACCTGTTAAATTCAACAAGAAAATGCCAAACATTGTACTTTCAGGTACTCCCAGAAAACAAGAAATTTGCCTTCCCATATATGCATAGAAGGTTAATTAAGGTACTTACAGTGAACATGGACAGAAACGATGCACGACCAGCATCTGAAGTTTGCAATCCCAGTGCCTGCATGAGATACCCTAGACTGACCCAGAAACCCAACTCAATCCCTGCTTTACATGTCTGAGCATCACCTCGAGCTTGGAACACAAATGGGATGAACGGAATGGCTGACACAGCAAACCGCACAACAGTGAAGGCTGCCGGGTCCATGATGGCTTCCACCTCTTTTACAATCGAGAAATTACTGGCTACAACAAGCGAACAAAATGAGTGAAACAAATTTAAAATTGTGATCCACACACTTCCAATGAGCCTCTCGAGCCCGAATTTTATACCAAGCAACTCCAAATCAACCAGTTTAAAAGCTGCATTTCGTTTGCATTTTTCGTTATACATTACTAATTGAATATCTGTTAGAAAGTAAGTTCTGCCCCCTCAATACCAAACCGCGCTAAGCTCTTTAGTTCGATCTTCACCTGAAGCTCTACATGATCTCTCTGTTCAAGGCCTAAACCCTATATTTCTTTTCCCTTTACACACATCCTTCTAAAGTTTTCTACTTTCGCTCAAAAATTCGAAATTTTACAGAATCGGGTCGTTTCAACTTAACTCGAGCTACCATTGCGTATCATCAAATGAAATATTTTTCCACATTTTCATGGTTTTTATGAACAATCAAACATTAAGCAGAAAATAATTTATGAAAATATTAAAAAGGTTTAAAAAGGAAGAAGCTTTTTACCATAAACGACGGTGATGACGTTGAGCAAGATGATGCTCCTAACTTTCTTGGAAGCGAAAAAGATCCTTCGCCACAGAGATCGTTTGCTGAACAAGGACTTGAAGCTCAAGGTCGTTACTCTCCTTTCGTCTTGCGATCGATTTCCACTAGAATTTTTAACCGATGTGGTTGGGTTCGGATTCCAATTCGGACCATCCAATTTCACTGGCTTTCTAAGTCCCTGTTTGGCATTAGGTTTAGAGCTACTACTAGGAGAAGAAGAAGGAGGAGGAGGAGGATAAGAAGAAGCGGTTAAACGAGGTCGTTTCCGGGGATTTGTGTGAAAGGAAGAGAAAGTTGAGGAGTTAGTAGAAGAAGAGCATTTGATGGCGGTGGTGGCGCGAATCGATGAGTTCCACGACCACCCGAATGGTGATTGGGCAGCCATGGATGAGCACTGGAGCACCGAGCAGAGAACCCAGAGGAACCGCGCGATGTAGCTGAGATTAATTTACCAGTTACACCTGAAATTACTGAAGCACCCTCGTTGATATTTTGGTTCTATTTTTGGGTCAAGAAAGTTGATATTTTGGTCAAGTCTCCGACTGTAACCCCGTTAAAATATCTAAAAATATTGTTAGGACGGTTCAGTTCGGTCGCTTGATCTTAAAATTTAATATGAGTAATGTTAAGCACATTATTTTTTTAGATTAAATTAATAAAAATAAGCATATTAATTAATATTGTAATTATTAACAATGACGTTATATGATTTACAATATATAATTTAAATAGATGGTAACCTATCTTAGTCTTGATTTGATGTGCGAATTAATTTGGTTTGGAATTGAGTTGATTAAATACACATCAAATTTAAATTTTAAAAAGACTTTTTTTAGTTACAGAACACGAACGGTGAACTTGTAGGTTCATTACTTGAGCTCAAGTTTAGAATTCGACTGCCACACAAGTGAAGACAAGTTCTGCACCCAGCTCAGTTGAATGAAATGGAAACTTCCATATGTTATAAGGTGCAGAAAAGTTGCACCCAGAGTCGGGAGAAATATATGAGAAGCTGAAGGACTTATTGACACAAGTGAAGAGTATAGTTTACATTCCAAATACCGGTTCTGTGTTTCATCTTTCATGTGGACATGGAGGAAAAGGAAGCCACGGTGAGCACTCACGGTGAAAAGCTTGCCGTTGCATTTAGTCTCATAAATTTAACTATTTAAGGCCCGAAAGCCCCATTAGGGTGGTGAAGAATTTGAGGATGTGTGACGACTGGACTGCCATAGTTTTTGTAAGTTTGTCTCCGGAGCTACCAAAGGGGAGATTGTCATGAGAGATAAAATCCGTTTTCATCATTTTCGAAATGGAGATTGTTCGTGCAACAACTTTTGGTGATCGCAAGAAATAGTGATGACTTAGAAATGATAAAGGCACGGAGATGTATTCTGGTTGTTGGTTTCCTCTCAATTTTGAGGTGCGTGATTGGAGAAGAACCACTGATGAGCTCACAACGGATACCAACTATTGCACAAGGGTAACTTGTTATTGGCTACATAAATAATACTTGCACTAGCTCTTTTGCGCCATGTACTGACATATCAATAGAAGAAGGACAAAGTATCGATGCCGAGAGGCCAACAGAAATCTCATCTTTAGCAAATGCCAAAAAGGTGGATTTCCAGCATGAACTTCTGCATATCACATTGGTTGATAATGTTTTCAGTTAGGTTCGTTTACTGCAGCACCAAGGACTTTCTGCTCAGAATATGAAACATTCTTAAAAAACGTTACCAGTTGTTCTAATTTGTTCCTGACTCCTTAGCATGCCTAATGGAAGCCTTGTAAAATGGCTTCACTCTCACAACTGATAGATTGCAGAAGCTAAACGCGGCAGTTGGTGTTGCCTTACCATTTGCACATCTCTATCATGGTTGTTAGTCATCTGCAGTTCACTGTGATATAAAGGCAAGCATTGTCCTTCTTGATCAAGATATCGTTGCACATTCATCTGACTTTGGCTTTCCGATCTAGGGAAAAGCAGCATCTACTAATCAAGACTGTTGCTACGGTTGGACATACCGCATCATGTAACGTTTCTAGCTACTTGATTAATTTACTTTTTCTATTTTCGTTGAAATTTTGTTCATAATATTATCGTGAAGGAGATCAAATTTGATTGATAAACAAATCAACGTTGTGATTTTTCCTGTTAGTAGTGAAGATAAATATGACATGGTGTGCGTTGCAGATTGCTGTTACAAAAGTCGAGAAAATAAGAGAGAGATTTCTAGCAAATATGGCAAGGCCTTGAGGTAAAGAGCCAGACTTCTATTTTTTTGGTATTTTCTTGTTTGTTCCTCCTCTACATATATGAGAGAATTTTCATTTCTGTGAAATAAAAATCATGAATGGAACTGTAGCTTGAGCAATTTAAATATACCATAAAAGCCAACAAAATGATCTGCCAACATTAAAAGTTTTCATCTGATATGAGAGCCTCCCTTTTTGGGCAATTCCTCGCAGATAAAGACTTACATGCAACCTCGGGACCTCTCTCTCCTCATTTATGCTCTTTGAGTACCCCAAGTCCCTTCTCAATATCAACCACACTATAAGCTTCTTAAAACTCCCTTTGGACATTCGGGGATGTTTTGGTCGAGGGAACTCTGTATTGGCAATGTTATGGTACCAGCTAGTGTTTCATATTATTTTTTATGTTTTCCAGCATCAACAAGAAAATTACTTATATCCAACTCTTTAATGACTTATACCATAATCCAGCACAAACAAAAAATCTTGCGAAAACTAAAAAAAAATATGATATTTTTACAAAATGGGCTATAACTCGTGGTAAATAAGTTATGAGTAGGGAAAACCCGTAGATCTTCTTGTGTTGTTAAAATAAATATAATAATGCAAAATCTCAAATTCGAAGCTGTCACAAAACCCAACTTGGAAGTTCCCCAAATTACTACTTGAAGAAGTGTAAATCAAAGGGACCAAATGCCCTCACTCAGTCGTATCATTCTTCCAAGAAACATGTCTTTGTCGTTAAACGAAAGGAAATGCCAAAGAAAGTCCTGCATGCACTCTTTTGGTAAATCACCAAGTACAATGTACTTTTCACCTCCCTGCTGAGAGTGGAGCTTTTGTGTTTGTGGCTCCTCTGTTTTACTCCTTGTTATTAATGAAATCCAGCTTTACCAAAAAAAAAAGTACCACCGACTTCCCCAAGGTCTTAATCTACTTGTTTGTTAGTGCATATTATCTTATATTATTATGCTGATATTGGGCTTTGAGTTTCGAAATTAACTTTTACGGCACGAGTATATTGTTATTGTGACGTCTTGCGTCAGTGATATAATATTCGATAAAGAAAAACTTATATATGATATATTACTAACATGAAACGTCCCGATATGTATTTTGTAGCATATACATCCTTCTCAGGTGTTTCTTAATCTTACCCAAAACTTCTTTTAGAGACTTGGAAAGATCACAACTTCAATGTAGATTATATTGTATCTTTAATAAATTTACTGAGAATTGAAGAAGATAATTTTGTAGGATATCAATCCTTGAAACCGATTATCTCTAACGATATCATCCACAACTTCAATCAACCATCACCGAGTTTAATGGCATATATGATGAAGTAAAATTTTTTGGTTGTTGATTTTGTGATAAACTTGGCCTTTCAACCAACTTGTCTGCCAGTGCGGTGTGATAAACTTACTTATCATGAAGAATGAAGTAGAAATTCGTGTGTCCTGCCCTTAATTTAGATCACATCAGTTGTGCGGTACCTCTAATAAAAGAGTAGACCCCTATATTTAGTCTCATTTATCTTCATGCTAGTCCCACGTAGCTAAATGTGCTGCCCTTTACGGACGTCGGCTCACAAAGATTATGTCATATAGCTCAACATCTTTCATCAAGTGATACGTGTCGTTAAGATGTATAAAGAACGGTAATAAAGGATGATTCAATGAAGATGTTGATTGAAGGACCCAAAAATATAAATATAAATGTCTTTGAAAAAACATAAAAAATAAAAAATAAAACATAGCAAGCAATAACATGTAAAATGTGAGTTCAAATCTTTTGCATTTATTTAACTTCTGACCTTTATGCGGTGTCTCAAACCTCTATTATTGATTGACACATGTTCATAAAATTAACTTTTCTTATATTTGTTGTCATAAATTCAACACGTATCAATTAACGATAGAGATTATAAAAAGACTACATACAAAATGAGTGTCGATGATTTGAGCTCGAAAATATTTGGGGTGGGTGGAAGCAATAAACGGGTTTTATGGGAGTTGGCAAAGAGAGAGATGAGGTGGTTGCATTTCGATCAGACCCTCTTTGACATCTCATAACACATTTATGAACGATTCCAAGCAAACATTCATTTCATTGGGAAATGCCCACTCTAATTAACTAATTTTCCCAAACAAATTATTAACCTCTAATTAATCGACATCTTTATTATTACGTGACGACCAGACCAGAATCTTTTGATTTTTTAACGCTAATTAATTAAGTAATAAAAAACTACTTGATTAGATATACTTGCTGAAATAAATAGCATTTTCTGTTCTCTGGCCAATTTTGGGTTTGCGGGCTTTTAGTTCTCTACACAAACTCAATTCCAAGGAAGTTTCCATGGCTTTGTTTAATTGTGGATCTAACCTTGAGAGCTTGAACTTTGTTTTGTCCACAGGTGACATTGAAAACATTGAGGGAACAACTAATACTATATTATGTAAAGCTTAAGTTAAAAGATGCATCTAAAGTACCACCAGTGTGGCTGCCCTTAATTCAAATCCAACAAGTGCGCCCCTACTAAACAAGGCAACAAGAGTTGTCCTAAAACTCTAGGTATGACCTCCTCGAGTTCTTGAGATCGGGGAGGGGCACCCTTCCACTTGATATTCAGGTTCACTTATAGGTGACGTGGCTCTTTCTTGACATCATCACGGCCCAAATTCGCTTAGGAAAAAAAAAAGGAAATAAAAGCTGCCTTACTCTCATCTTTTTGTCGAAATCTCTATGAGCTACGAAAGCCTAAGATTAACTGCATCCACTGGAGCAAGGATTTTAGCCATGCCCCTCCCAATTGCAGTAGTAGGAGTAGCTACTTGTTTCATGGCTTTAATTTGAGCTCTTCAAATCTTGAATCTCCATATTGACCCAATGTCGGGAGAATTGGCTTACCATGCCTCCACTGTTGTAGTTATCGTTGCAGGCGGCTACGGTGCTGTTTAAGCACATCAAAATAAAAATCATATTCAAAGTAAAAGTCAAAAAAACGAGAGAGGTGGCCTGGTAGGCAAAAGCTCTATTTCTCTTTTTTTTATGTAAAGAAAAAGCGCCAACGCCAATAACGAGGGTTAAGCTTAAATACAAATACATGGTTGAAACATTTATTACTGTGTAGACTAAAGTTCTAGGATAACTCTCGCATTAGATAGAATAGAACAAACATGAGGTCAAATGAGATCAAAATGTAGAGTGTTTTATGTTGATA